TGCTGAAGAAAACACCTAGAATTCTGTGGACAGCCAAAAAAATCAAACAATTAGATAATTGAACAAATCAACTCAGAGTTCTCACTTGAGGCACAAATGACCAGGCTCAAATTAACCTACTTTGTACACATTATGTGAAGATCTATCTCACTACAAAAGGCTCTAATGCTGAAAAAGATGAAATTAAATAGAAGATGACCAGCAGCAAGATGGATTCATCCATCTAGATTCAGTTACAGTGGCACTGAGTGCATCATTGGGAGACTTAAAGAACAGGTTAGAGATAGATTGCCATGAAGAAAGTATATGTGTGGTTAGCAGGAGTCAAAAATCATTTGTTGTACATAATCAACCAATCAACTATAGCCCTAAATATTTACTTTCTTTAAGTTCTGAAGAGTTAAGGTATTTTCATCCACAGATTTCTTCAGTTCCAAACATCTATAAACAGAAAAAAAAAATCCATATTTTATATGCTGTCTACCAACCATCAAATATGCTGATCCTAAAATATTACAAATAATATTGTGCTTAAATTTAATAAACAACTTAATATACTAAGGTGAGCAGGTATGTTAATAGCATATTGCCACAATCACATTTTTTTTGTATACACATACCCCTGGAGAAGGAATAATATTGATATTAAAGTTTGTTACATTTGTCTGGTTGAAGAATAATTAAATGCTTCAGTTGCTCATTCTCCTATAGGATCTCCTGCAGGTGAACAACAAAAATCTACTTAACCAAAGTACAGTAACCAAAGGTGAAGCAAAGCCACTAGATACATTCTGGGTGCTATCATTTTTGCAAAGAATACTTTTTGGTTTTCATCTTATATAGAAAAAAATCATTCTTAAATAAAAAATATACCTCTGGAAACATGTACTGTAGATAAATACTAACAAGTATAGAGGGGAGGGGGCATTTGCTTTACGGTTTTTATCATTCTGAAATATAAGCCACCTGAATTCTTCGGAGTAACTAGCATACAAATTCATGAACAAATAATCCTGACTATTCTGTAAATTGGCCTTGAATCTACTTTCATAGTGAAAGCAATATAAAATATTTTAAAAATTAATGATAAAATATAGTAGTTAAAGTGAACCAACTCACCGCAGGAGGAATGGCACATACTGAATGCTAACATTCAAATATAATACATTTGAATGTGAAAAATCATGATATTAAACACTGCACGTTAATCCACTGATACTCCATTGAAGAACAGTTCCAAATATTTATATTAATGAACAATTCAATATACAATTAGTTTTTATTTGATTTGATTGTGTGCTGTAATGAGACTAGACAAATAACATTGCAGGACCTCTCATCTTTGAAGTAAAATACATGTAGAAATGAGTCTTATTTTTTATAAATTTTCTTTTAAATAAAGAAGTTTAAGTCTCAACTATTTTTAACTCACCTGTTTAATTTCTTTACATTTTAAGTGCCATATAAAATGTTACATTTGCTTCTATCAGAAGATTACTGTAGTTAAAATGTACATTACCTCTCACTAAGGCTTTTCCTTTTTTCAGAATCCAGAGCCTTCACTGTTTTGCTTTCTTGAAGCAAAGTTTCCACCTGAAATATTTTATAATTAAGACATGATTTGTTGAATAAAAGCAGTTGCACAGCCTTATATATTTAAGACTTGTACCTATATTGTATTTAGGATAAAAATCAATACTCCAAAACAAGTTTCCCATATTCTCTAATATTCACACATATACACACATCATCTGCCCAATATTAATAATATTCACCAGTCCAATTACACTCTTAACTTCCCCTTTATTACAAACAAGTAACTTCAGAGTAGGGAAATTCACTAAATAGAAATCATACATACTTATCTAAATCCCATTAAATTCTGTGCACATGTAAATTTTACTATAGTGCCCTCTGCTGGACCTTGCTACTTTAATCAGTCTGAATCACTTGGTCTAATTTATGTGAGATTCAACTGTTGCACTAAGTTAAAGTTAACTAGGATGTCTATATATGTGTAAGAAATACAATATAGAAAAATGCTTATTCTGATATATCATACATATATATTCATCTCATTGTTTCCATTCAGAAAAGGAGTATAAAATATAAAGTACAGCTCAGAGTTGCCTTGAACTGCAAAATGGACAAGATATAAATTTAACAAATAATAAAATAATAAACAAAAGTAATAAAATGCCAAATCTAATGCCCATCAGTTATACCTTTCAATCCTTGTAAACCATCAAGCCTATTTTGCTAAACAAGTCTCATTTTCTTAATCCTTTCAAAACATTGGAACCTTTACTTGCTGTATTCACTAGGTTTCATTTTGTAAATACAAATGAAGTACTGTATATTTTTAAAGTAAAAGATAAACACAATCCTATTAGCTTCTTTTTACAAAAATCCATTCCTGGCCACAGACTACCAACTACTTTTCTGTCAGCATTTTCATATCTTAACATTTCTCCATTCTTCTATATTTCATGAACATTGTACTAAGACTTGTAGATTAATCTACTCGCTCTAGTTTTCTGGCATACATATATAAAGTATAGAGCCCCTTTTTGAGGGAGATGGGCGGTTTAGAAATATGAAGTATGTGTGTTATCATTTACTCAATTTTCCCTACTGAACACAAATTCAATATAAAATTTATTTCACCTATCAGGTTAGCTTTCTCACTGTTGCTGAGAGTTTTGTTGAGAATGTCATTGGGAGAATTGGTTGTCTTTAACAACTTTTTTTTACCAAATAACTCTTACTAAAATGCTTATTTGCAGAGTAGGATTACAACCTAATGGTTCAATCAAGACCATAATATTCTGGATTCTTACTCACTGGGGCGTGCATATACATTCCCCCCCCCCCCGCCACTTTAAGATACACACGTGTATCTTCTACATACTTAAACCATAAACTTCAGACTAGTTTTGTAGGGATTTACATATTCAACAATGAAAACGGAGGCATAACATTTGGGGAGCCACGTCAGGTTTGCACTGAAATAAACCCATACATGAGCTTCACAAACTGAGGTTTTGGGGGGATTTTTTTCAACCAACCGCCATCCTCTAGTACTGGGTCACAACCGTAGTGGGATGCATTGGAAATTTTTCTTTTGCAATCCCAGCTGGCTCTCTCCCACTCTCTCCGAGGAAGATAACGGCAAAAGACACTTTTACCTGTTCCCGCAGTTCTCGGCCTCGACGCAACGCGCTCTGCAGAGGGGCCCTTCGGCTCCGACGGCCGGTCATTTGTATAGACATTGCTGAGGTTGCTTTGCGCAGAGGGGCCACGACGGTCGCTAAGGAGACCAACGCTGCGGCGCTTAACGAAAACGTCATCAATCGGCGTTCCAAAGATTCCAAGCACGATTTAGGAGAGAATCGCGCTAACGGCGCTAGGTGTCTCCGCAGGTAGCCAAGCCGAAGGAGAGGGATGTTCCCGAATAAAGGGAACGTCTGAGGGGGGGGGCTCCCAATTTGGCTCTGCTGTAGTAGCAAAAGGAACAGGCGATAAAATACCATTGTTGATTATGTTTCTCATAATTTGATGGTTTTAAGAATTCTTACAGCCCCATCCAATTAGAAGCCAAGAATACGAGAAATACGAATATGAGTTTACGGTCGGTTTTGTTATATATATGCCTGGTAGTTCACATCCTCCAATTTTATTCTCTAAATCTCCTTCTAGAATCTATTCTAGAGTGAACTTGAACCCGATTCTCTGGAATTCTAGCCCAGTACTTACTCCAAACCCATGTCTTCTACTCTGTGAGACGCTCACTTGGGCAGGATAAACAGCAATTACATATCCAATAAATTTATTTATTTTATTTATTTGTTTAAATTTCTATACCGGCCTTCTCCAATGTAGGACTCAGGGCGGTGAACAGCCAAAGTAAAAACAAGACATACATACAAAACATACAAAATCTAAAATCTGTTTAAAATAATTAAATAATTTTGGCCGTAATTAAAACATTCCAATTTAAAATCCGTTTAAAATTTGACTCAAGCCAGCCCAGCTAGTTGAAATAAATGGGTTTTTAGGGCCCGACGAAAAATCCGGAGGTCTGTTATTGTACGTAGCTCTGGGGGGAGGTTGTTCCAGAGGGCGGGCGCCGCCACAGAGAAGGCTCTCCCCCTGGGGGTCGCCAGCCGACATTGTCTGGCGGACGGCACCCTGAGGAGGCCCACTCTGTGGGAGCGTACTGGCCGGTGGGAGGCTATTGGTGGCAGAAGGCGGTCTCGTAAGTATACCCCAGCTTTTTTTTGAATGCTCAAGGTGCCTAACAATAAATTGAAACTAAAGTTTTAACTATTATAAACTTGATAAAATAAACAATATCATTGTTTCATTGAAACAACCATTGTTTCAACAAACATCCCAGAACGAAGGTTCACCAAATCGAATATATGAAGAGTTAGGTTATCTTTTTGCCACCAGATAGATGCTTATTGTACAGTACTCATTCAATCAGGTTGGATTTTTACCTTACTTATTAAAAAAATACCGGTAAGAAAAATTTCAGTATGAGTCCATTGGTACATGGACTCTCATGGCTGTACTAGAAAATCAGTCTGTAAGAATTTATAGTGAAGGATTCATCATGTACTGCATCTCAACCCCCATACATAAATACCATTTCTAGTCCTTTGTTTGTTTATATAGTTGATTAGGCAGATTGTTTCATATATCATACCAAAATAAATAATTCAGATTTAAAATCACATTCAATATAGGTTTTAGTTTACACATTGCTCTAGGCTTAAATATGATTTATTAAATAAGCTAAATGTAGCTTGACATAATACAGTAAGACCACAGAAAACAAACTACATTATGGTTCAGCGTGTGAATCAGGCCAGTAAATTTAGGATTAACCTTTAATGTTTATAAGTGGTAATTCACATATTAGGATATAAAATTATGTTTGTCTTCAATTTCACAGCCAAAATAAAGAACTTTAAAAAAAACTAACACAGAATATATTGCATTGCACTTATTTATTTTCTAATTAAACTTTGTTAGGAAGATCCAATTCATAAAACATCCTTAAATTATTAGTTATCCAAATAGGGAATGTTAAGCTGTTCATACAGACAAGTTTCAAGAGACAGATGACTTCTTTCTGCAGATGCTAAACTTTTTTGTAAATATCAGTCCCATGAAATGAGATGGCAATTTCATAGATATCTTCAAACCATGTTTATGCAGGAGGATTTTTAAAAGAAGTCCATTAATATACATCAAATATGGAAACTTGATTGTAGTTCTTTTTGAGGCATTTATATTCAGCTGTTGACAGGTGAAAAAAAATGAAAATCAGTTCCATATAACTTTTAAAGTTTTCTCAAAATGTAAAATATAAAACAAAAAAGAATACAAGTTAAAATATATAGCAAAGGATGTAATTTTAGTAGTTGGGAACAGCATTAAGAAAACCAGGCACAATTCCATCCACTGAGAAGTTTGTTGATTTTGGTACAACTGTCAATTGAAACATTGCGGGAACCCTGACAAAATGTCTATATATACAGTATTTTGAGAAACAAATCCCTGAATTTAAAAATCAGCATATTTTCAATAAAAAACTAACAAAAAATAAGTTTTGTTTAATTAAAAATAGGCCTGCAATATGTTCAGCTGCTCTGAAAGAAACTGTATGACTGTAACCCAGTAAACAAGGTTGAAACTTGTAACCCCAAAATAATTTCAACCACTTGTGAAAAAAACCATGAATTTCCAGACTGTTAAACTTTTGCAAAATGAGTAGTTTGAGGTAACTATTCTCTCTTCCCAAAGCTCTCCCAGAACAACTAGCATCCAATAAGCAAAAATTATACAGAAACAGGTCTTCTCTGCCTAAATTAATAATAGCCAATAATGGCTCTGCGACTAGTATTAAAACACAAAAACCCATCAAGGAAAAGGATACAAATTGAAACATTAATTAAGGCTTTGTACCTTTATTTTGATACAAAGAATCATAAAAGTTATTTGGTTATTTTTTTAAAAAAAAAAAAGCAAAGTAAAACAGCAAAAATTAAGCGTGTTGGCTATTTGGCCTATTTCTCTTGATAACCAGCTTTGAAACGCAGGGATCACACCGCTTGAACTTTTCATCGCCCCGGCCTAGGGTTAAAAGGCCCGAGGCAAATGAGCATTTTGGCCTAAAAGAGCGCTGCCAATCACCGTGACCCTCTCCCGGTCACTATTCTTGGGCTATTGCGGCGGCTTCCTCACCGCTTCACGCGAGTTCCAACTTATTCTGCGTGGCTGCTAGCTGGTCCTGCAGCCGCCGCTTCCGCCACTTGAGGTAATACCTCCGCGCTCTGTTCGCCTGCCATCCCACCACCACTCCCGAAGCGAAGGCTAGTAACACCGCTAGCTTGACCGAGCGATCCGACAAGGGCTCCGAGCTCAGCGCCATTGTCATTCGCCTTCAATCTGATATGGCGCCCACTAGAGGACAGTCTGCTTTTATCTCCTCCTGGCGCCGAATGAAAAAAAAGGAGTTAAGAATGTTCTCGGCGCAGCAACTAGCGACTATTAGGCTGCAGTTATCCTATCGAAATCCATGAGGTTTCCCTTTGAGTAAGCAAAACTACTGTATACGGCAACACGTCGCTTTAGATCGGTGTTTTTCAAACTTGGCAATTTAAAGATGTGTGGACTTCAACTCCCAGAGTTCTCCAGTTAGCATGCTGGTTAACGAATTCTGGGAGTTGAAGTCCACACATCCTTAATCTTGTTAAATTTGAAAAGCACCAAGTTAAATATAGCATGATCTTTCAGCATATTGTAGCTTGAAATGTGAAATCAAATAGTGATTTATAAACCACAATTTGATAAAGGATAGGCATTGCTCTTTGGTGCCAACTATAAGTTCTCTGTCTCATCCCTCGTAATTTTTTTTCAAAATAAGTATTACATTATATTAGAAATTAGCCGCTTGTAAAACAAAGTACCAGCCTCCAGCCTATTTATTTATAAAAATACTTTCAAATTCAAACCTATAATAAAAATTCCTCTGTGATGATAGAAAAAAACCTGGAGGCTAGTTGGGGCATTTGGGACTGACTGTGGCAGCTATCTTGTGAATAAACAAATCACAATATATTATATTGCAATTATATTATGAATAAGCCCCTATATACTTTCAAAGCCCCAAATATATCCATAGTTCAAAACAGTTACTGCCTGACTCATTATTTTATGTGAATCCAGTATTTGGGATTCGTCAACAAACCAGAGTTTATTCATCATAGCTTAGCAATGCCTCAAAAAAGGAATTTGAAGATTGATTAAATGGGCCAATTAAGTTTGTTGGAATTTATATCTGAGAAAACATGTAGAAGTTGCATCACTTTGTAGTAAGAATGTATTGGTATAAAAATTGAGGTCAACTTTTCTTGATTTCATGAACATGTTTTTGCAATTTATTTGCAACAATATAGAACTCTTTGCTTTCTTCTGGAATATCTTTTAAACTTTCCAGTGTAACCTATGACTCTATTTTTCTCTGATACTTCCACCACCAAATATTAACCCAAACCTACCCTAACAAGATCAACCTGGTGCTGTTATCTTTTAAACTATGAACCTGATCCTGTTTGAGTTGTGTTTAACATAACTGCAGTGAGTGTAAACTATAAAAAAAAATTGAATTTTTTTTCTAAAGCAGATCTGAAAAGTATTGAAACTGTTTCAGCCAGATGCAACGTACTTTCAGTGAAAAAACTCTCCAAAAGCATAAGACTTTACTGAAAACTTTTTCATATACTTGTAATCTTCTAGAACAGGGTTATCAAACTCACAGTGTCACAGCGGTGTCATGTGACAGATTGTGACTTTTTCCCCCTTCCACGCCAGCACGTGACACATCCAGCCTGCAGGCTGCAAGTTTGACACCCCTGTTCTAGAAGATGAAGTTTTGTTAATTAGAGATTGGAATTGCTTCTACAGTCAGAGCTGTTTTATACTGCGGACATGTGCACCCTTTTTCTATAAATTGTTATGACTACCAACTTTCCTCAGACTGATAACAGGCAGATGTTTTGGGTCAGTATAACATTCCTAGATAGACCCAAGTTGGCTAGATCATTCAAACTGGCTATGCTCACTATGACTAGATATTTCTTTTGCCCTAAATCTTATTTGCAGTATTATAGATAAATCTAATCCTATACAATTTACTTTAATTTGATAGAAATCCTGAATACACAAATAGACTAAGTCCAGATTTTGAGTCCTCATTGAGTTTAGAGACTAGGCAAACATATTTTGCCTAATGTGTTGTGCAAATCCAATCCATATGGCTAGTTTATGGTTTAATGTGACATGCAAACTCAGAAAATTAGATTTATAATTTATTATGGCTAAATAGGCTCTGTAGCCACAGCTGATCAATTTTTCTAAAAGTTTTGGAGTGCTGAGATACTTGGCCTCATCTTGCAATAATATTGTTTTTCTCTCTACCACAATAGATATAACTTAGCTACATGCATTTTAAAAGTAATTATTATTCATTTTTAGCTTTCAACCCTATAATTCATAGATCAGTTAAATAAGATCAGGAACAATCTACAGTAATCGGAGAGGGGGGGTCTACTGTTTTTAAATATAACTAAGTAAACAGTTTCATACTATTCCTATGTTCCTACTATATTATATATATTATATATATACTATATTCCTACTCTCCTATGTTCTGACTTCATGTGGATAAAATGCTTCCTCAGCATTCCCAAAGTACTCCATGGAGAATTAACATTAACATACTTTTCAAGTCAAACTTCCTTTTTTGAGAAAGCCAAGTCCCACCAATGGCAAAGAAATAAAACAAGATGGGGAACAGCAGCCAAGCACTAACTACAACCTCCAAAAACTGCTAACTCTGCAGCTATCTTGTCTAGCTATGTCTTTGAGAACACCCAACCACCTATACATGTAAGGAAGCTATAAATGTATATGGGTTTTTAAAAAAAAAAAAAAAAAGCAAGACAAACATTGCTGTTCTGAAATAATTTCCTGGGATAACCATGTAGATCTCACATTTAAGAAAACTACATATGTGAGGTTAACAAAAGGAAATTCTAATATTTCTGCCCCTGTATACATAACACCAAGTTTGCTCACTTGCTGTTAGAGATGGCATAGACATTAATAGGAAAATATTAAATAACAAGTTCCAGAAAATATAAAGGTAAATTCAGTGGTGAAATCCAATTTTTTTTACTACTGGTTTTGTGGGCATGGTTTGGTGGGCGTGGCAAGGGAAGGATACTGCAAAATCTCCATTCCCATCTCACTCCAGGGGAAAGACATTGCAAAATCTCCATTCCCACCCCACTCTGGGGCCAGCCAGAGGTGGTATTTGCCGATTCTCCAAACTACTCAAAATTTCCGCTACTGGTTCTCCGAACTGCTCAAAATTTCCGCTACCAGTTCTCCAGAATCTGTCAGAACCTGCTGGATTTCATCCCTGAGTAAATTCATAGCAGTTTGAGGGAATCTTGAAACCTAAAGATCAGTAGTAAAAACGATTACTTCTCATAATGATGGAATTGTACAGTACTTGCTTATTCTTTGGCATATGAGTAGGTTACTTTGCATTAGATGTCTTTCACGTGCCTTGTTTGCTGGTGTGGCACCACATTTGATCAAATGTTATTGTTTGCAAACAAAATAAATACTGGTTGTTTTTCCTTCTTGTGTCTGGTTAATTGGAGGTGTTGGACAATGAACATTTGGAAATTGTTATTTCTGTGACACTGCACATTAAAATATACCTAGTTGCTTAGTTTAAGATATTTGAAGAAAAGACTGCCTACCTTCTCTTCCCCAAGGTCCTACGCTTGCTCTCTAATGCATGTTCAGTGCAAAGCTGAAACATGTTAACCATATTAATGTAGCTCTACATGCATGGATTTGAACTGCATACAATCTAAGTACCAGAATGAATGAGGAATTGAGAGGCTGAGAGAGGACAGAGTGGCTATTTTTTCTAATAAATGCAAGCATGAGTTTACAAAAATTTGGAGACCAAGTTAGTGCCAGATATTCCTGGCAAAATAATGTCCTTCAGGTAACAAAGAAGTAGAAGCAATTGACCACAAAAAGACTGTCTATATCAGGGTTGTGCATGGGGGGAAGGAGGGATCAAAAAAGTCAAGATGACAGCCTCATCTCCATCATCAAAGCCACACCCCTTTTCCTTTTAAAATAAGGGCAGGAGTTCAGTCAAGAAACACTGATTGCCCTCTTGGTTTTTTTAAACTCCCTGCCAGATATTGCTGCCTTACAGAATTATCTTTGCTTTTCATACTTGTACACAGACATGTAGGACAGAGTGTGTCTCAATTATCTCTTCACATACACAACATAATACACATTCAGGCCTTTTGTTCTGATGCTATCCATGCTTTTCACAGTACTGAATACTATTTTCATTCTTGTGTGTAGATAAAAAGATGTACCTTTTTAAACATGGTGTTTTTCATCTCTACTTTTCATCTCTCTGCCTATCACTTCTTCAAAGAGAATATATTGGTAAATTGCTCTAAGTCTTTGCTGCAGCCTTGGAAAGAGAAATCAGGGTCAGTCCCATCAGCTCTACTGAGAAGGCAGCTCTTTTACCAGAGGAATAGACTAAAGGAGAACCAGCAGCAAAGTGTTCAGCAACTTTTGACTCCTCTTCTTCTTTAAAGTATTCCCATCTGATTATCACAAGGAAATTGTACAAAGCCTTAGCTACTGAGTTTGTTTTATCTCTTGTTGTTTCCAATCCTTTCTCCTTTTCTGTCACATCATTTAGATTAATTATATCAAATGACATAAAAGCAAAGACAGCCTTATTACAGGATTTTGCAAGCCTTTTAAAGAACTTTTTTAATCTGAAGACTGAATTAAAGGTAAAATAACTCATAACATTTTCGCTGAAGCTACCTAGAGTCACTTTTCAGTGTAAAATGGGCAGCATATAAATTTAATAAATAAGTTCTTCCTGATAGCTAGTTCCTAGTAGATGATATTCTCTTAATTTTTTTTTGAAAATAACAAAATTGTTTGTTTTCTGACAATTGCCTTTCAATACATACTATTTGTAAGTCGATGCAAGAATATTTTCCTTTAAGTGGTAGGATGCTCAAACTAGGAGATAAATTATTCATATTTGAATAATTAACATTCATTTTTAAAAGATCTCACACTGAGCCTCTGGGGAATGGTACGCACAATTATGTACAGTATTACAGGATACACAAACTGAGAATGTTGCTATAATGCAGCATCTAGCTTGTTAAAAACAAATACATGCATATATTCCCAGTAGCTAGTCGTCATCCCTTTATCCTGCAACCAACTTCTGTAGTTGCTCTCAGGCAATCTTTTATGCCATTAATGGCTCCATATTAAGTAGAAATTCAATAGGTAATGCTAAATCCC